GACAGAGGCTCTGCGTGAGAGCTCTGTGTCAAGTTATGTTAGACAGAGGCTCTGCATGAGAGCTCTGTGTCAAGTTATGTTAGACAGAGGCTCTGTATGAGAGTTATGTATCAAGTTGTTTTAGACAGAAGCTCTGGAGGAGGGACCACAGAGGGGCTCTGGTCCTTGGTACCGAATTATTTCCTAAGGCTCGACCGCATAGGCTCTGGTCAATACCACATATGCTCTGGTCGTGAGACCAGAAGCTCTGTGAAAGAGACCACAGAAGGGCTCCAGCCCTTGGTGATTGTATTATTTTCTTATGATTTGGAACCAGAGGCTCTGTATTATTTATGTACTATTCGCTACTATAAATTGTAGGTTACCAGTCAGCGCCGTTAACTAAGCAATCAACGCTATCAGGTGAGTCTTCATGAGACTTACAATGGGATGCATACCTATGTATACATTATTTTCAAGCACGATACGATTTATATGATGATGGTACAAATACATGATGTTTCAGTGTACATACATGTTATGTTCTACATGTATGACGTTTTATAATCAGTTGCATGCTACGTGTTTAATTATGTTTCAAATAACTCTAGCATACTTTTCCATATTAAAGTTTGATGATTTAAGGGTGGGCATTTGACTAATAAGTCACAACCAGTATAAAACACTACCCGGACAAGTGGGTGATCAATCGAGAATGAACTATCAACCCAGGGCGTGTTGGTGACTAAATGACCCATTCTAGACAGATAAATTATGAGATCTCATTTCTTTCAGTGTTGCATGTTTTCAGAAATTGCATGCTACTTGTTACAAGGTTTACAAGTTGAAATATATGATGTACCATGTTTTTATACACGAAAACCATGAACTCACTGAGCTTTATAAGCTAACTATAGTATGCATCTCAGGCCCAGGTAGTTCGAGGACGGATAAAGGCAAAGGACATGCTTAGAGCATTGCKTWTTATCATTTCATTTTAGTCTTTTGTCTAAGATGTGYTGTAATGATTTTCTTTTTGTAACTTAACCCCAAGAGAAGGTGAGTTTGAACTTCAGTTAAGATTTTGATGATTCAAAGACTTCCGCTGTAATAGTTTAAATGATTTAAATTTAGCCATTACTTTGGTGTATTTATTAAGGAAAGGTTTCAGTTTACGTAACATCTCTCTTGATGAAAATGAGGGTGTTACAAGTTGGTATCAAAGTCTTAGTTTAAGGTAATTAGGCTAAAACTTACTTAGCTTAAGCTTAAACTGGGAAGATTGTTAGAGTTTTAGTTTTAGGCAAATAGGATGAGATTTGCTTAGCCTAAGCTTAAACTGAAAGGATTATTAGAAGCACATGTTTATTGTGTATTGGTGCGCTTAGCATGCGATTAAGTTTGATCCTACGTCACTACTCGAGTTAGTGTTCCTTTTTATTTGTAGGAGACATGGTTTGCACTATTCACACCAGGGCTATCAGACGCGGACGCGGACGCGGATACGGAACCCGTAGGACGCCTTACGGGCTAGGACCGAATAGAGGGTCGATTGGCAGTCACCGCCCCARCACCGGACAGGTTCCCGGTACCCGGTCCGGAAGCGATAGTCCGGCCCACACTGGTGAAGTGTCATCACGCGAGCCTATCAGGCAAGGGACCACGCTCGAACCTTCGGTGGACTACACGCCCCGCACACCGACACGTGAGGACATGATGGAGACTATAGAGACCCTGGAGGGCGAGAACACAAGACTAAAGGAGAGGTTGACCCGAACTTTAGGTGACAATACTAGACTAAATGAATGGCTGGGAAATCTTCAGCGGGCACATGTCGATCAAGGAGAAGCCCTAGTCAAACTAATTGAAGAGAATGCAGATTTGTCGGACCAGTGTCATGCCCTGATTTTGGATAAGGTTGTACTCGAGCAAGAACGAAGAATTGTTGCTCGCCCCGTAGGCACCAGAATCAGGGACAGGGTTCGCTTCTATAAGAGAGTAACCATTGACTATGCTGGCGTAGTCAAGGGCTGTCTCTCCAACTAGGTTCGATGCATCATAAATGGCCCAAGGGCTAGTATATTGGTTCCTCCGGGATACGTTGCCAACTATGCTTAAAGAAATGCTGGGTGACAGACTTAAGGATAATGAAGGTGGGGAGGAAGGAAGCGTTCGACACGAGAACACTCAAGTCCCTGAAAGGAAGGAAGTGTCCAATAAAGAGAAGGTGGAGTCGCTCATCATTGAGAAAACCGAGTTGACTGCAAGGGAGAGAGGATGCAGTTTTAAAACATTCAAAGGCACCGGGCCAAAGGAATTTAAAGGAATAGAGGGCCCAGTTGGCCTAATGAACTGGGTAGCCAAAATGCAGAGCTGCTTCAAAATTTGTAGATGCGCGGAAGATCAAAAGGTGACTTATGCTGCTACAACCTTTGTGGACTATGCGTTGCATTGGTGGGAGTCTGAATGTGCAATCAGAGGTGATGAGGATATTGCTGCCATGACTTGGGAGCAAATGAAAAAGACGATGATGGATAAGTACTGCTCGCAAACGGAGGTGAACAAGCTAGAATCTGAATTTCTGAGATTGAAGCAAGGATCGTTGTCAGTTCAAGAATATGTTAACGAATTTCTTGAAAAAGCGAGGTTCACCAGTTACTAGGTGGCTACCGAGGAGAGAAAGATAGATCATTTCAAGGACGGCCTAAGGATCGAAATCAAACGTTACGTGGTCATGACCAAGCCGACCACGTTTGTCCAAGTAGTAGAAATGGCAAAAGTAGCAGAAGAGAACAACGCTAGGGAGAACCATGATAGAAGGGATGCAAAGAGAAGATGGGAAGGATCGAACAAGTCCGACAAGAAGCCAAAATGCACTCCGACTTTGGCAAAAACACGAAGCGAGGGATTCTCTATTCCTCAATGTAACAAATGCAACAAGAGGCATAAGGGAGAGTGCAGAGCAGGGAGCCTGATGTGCTATAGATGTGACAGACCGGGGCACACCGCACGAGAGTGCTCGGAAGGAAGGACTTGTTACAAATGTGGGGCTACGGGACATTTGCGCCCTGACTGTCCAAAACATCGCAATGGTGCGACACCCCACGGGAAGACAGTGAACAACGGATTCGGGAAGAGAGCATAAAACAGGAAGGAACTGCCTAAGGGACACGGCCGAGCTTACAACATGACTTTGGAAGAGGCAAAGGAAACACCCGACGTCGTATCTGATATGTTCCCTATCAACAATATGTATGCACATGTGTTATTTGATTCGGGTGAAAATGGTAGTTTTGTGTCTACCACTTTCTACCACTAACTGAATAGTAGTGCCCGTAGGCTAGACAAAACCTATACTGTAGAAACAGCCGACGGTAGTCAGTGTAAGGTAGAAGAAGTATTCGATGAATGCACAATTGTTATAGACGGGAAGGAATTCCCCGTTAGGCTTATGCCGATGTGTTTAGGAGGTTTTGATGTAGTCTTGGGGATGGATTGGCTATCCAACAATCATGCGCAAATAGTATGCAATAAGAATATGATCAAGATTCAGACTCCGGAAGGAGAAACAATTAATGTTTACGGTGATCGAAAGAAGTGTTGCGTAGGGTTGATCAATGCAATTAAGCCAAATAGGTGTCTACGGAAGGGATGTGAAGCTTACTTGGCATACGCCATCGACGCCAAGCTCGAAAAGAAGACATAACAAGATGTTCCAGTGGTAAGGGACTACCCAGAAGTATTCCCGGATGATTTGCCAGGAATACCACCGGAACGTCAGGTAGAGTTCCGAATCGATTTGGTACCAGGTGCGGTACCGATCGCAAGGGCATCTTATCGGTTAGCCCCAACAGAAATGCAAGAGCTGATGAAGTAATTGCAGGAACTCTTAGATAAAGGATTTATAAGGCCAAGCTCGTCACCATGGGGAGCACCGATTTTATTCGTCAAGAAGAAAGACGGCACGATGAGGATGTGCATCGATTATCGGGAATTGAACAAAATCACGATAAAGAACAAATATCCATTGCCAAGGATCGACGACCTTTTCGATCAGTTGCAAGAAGCCAGCTGCTTCTCGAAAATTGATTTGAGATCAGGTTACCATCAGTTGAAGGTTCGAGAAGGAGACGTGTCGAAGACCACTTTTAGGACTCTATACGGACATTACGAATTTGTAGTAATGCCATTTGGATTGACAAACGCACCTGCAACGTTCATGGACTTAATGAATCGAGTCTGTGGACCGTATTTGGACCAATTTGTCATAGTCTTTATAGATGATATATTGATCTATTCTAAAAATAAGGAGGAGCATGAGCAACACTTAAGGTTGATCCTCGAACTGCTGGCAAAGGAACAATTGTATGCCAAGTTCTCAAAATGTGAGTTTTGGTTGCATGAGGTACAATTCCTCGGTCACGTAGTCAACGAGGAAGGAATCAAGGTGGACCCGGCTAAGATTGATGCAGTTATGAACTGGGAATCTCCAAGGTCAGTATCGAAGATCCGAAGTTTTCTAGGCCTAGCAAGGTATTACCGAAGGTTTATCCAAGATTTCTCCAAGATAGCAACGCCTTTGACGACACTGACGAAGAAGTCGGTTAGGTCTGATTGGGGTACGAAACAAGAGGAAGCATTTCAGACACTTAAGGAGAGACTAAGCACGGCACCGATTTTAGCACTACCGGAAGGAGTAAAAGATTTTGTCGTTTATAGCGATGCATCAAAGATGGGTTTAGGTTGTGTACTAATGCAGCGAGGCAAGGTCATTGCATATGCGTCTCGTCAGTTGAAAGAACACGAGAGGAAATACCCAACTCATGACATGGAATTAGCAGGCGTTGTCTTCGTGCTAAAAATCTGGAGATACTATTTGTACGGTACTGTAACACCCCCGTCCCGCATGGTCAAAGACGGGAGATGCCACAATTGGAATAAAACAAACATGTGCTATATAAAACAGAGCGGCTAATAATATTTACCAAAAGATAATTACATAACCACCAACGGAGATAACGTGTCTCAAAATACAGTCCCAAAATACCAGCATGTCTACATTAGTCATCAAAAGTTTAACAAAAAATACGACTTAATGAGTTATCTTCAATATTGTCATCTCCGTAGCTCTCATCCCAAAATTCCTGCTAAGTCATATACATGCCGAGGACAAGAAAATCTCGGCTGAGCTTAATGCTCAGTGAACGGATAATAATATAATAAAACAATGAATATGAGATAACAAGTTCAAAAACAATTGATAACGC